GCTCACGTGGCCCTGTCCCCGCAGCCGCTCTACGAGGTGGACGACCTGCGCGACGCCTTCCGCACGCTGGGGCTTTGAACGCCGCCTCCAGGAGCCGCGCGCACTGCGACATCTCTGCGGAAGGGAGAGGACGGGGAACGGACCTCGGCGCCTGCTCTTTCTTCTTCCGTTCTCACTTTCTTAGAGCGTAGAGGGGGAAACACTTGTACAGGACCTGTTTAAAAATACCCACGTCTTGCATGGGGAGGAGGTGCTCGGACCCCCAGGAGGACATGGACCCGGCACAGCACCGCCCTCTGCCGGGCAGTGTCGGGACTGCGGGTCCTGCGGAGCGCGGGCGTCCTCGTCACGGGGCTCTCTGAGCGGTTCCGCCTCTTCCGTACTGGGACATTGAGGGACTCGGAGCCCACACCCCCTCCACAGCACTCATGTGCAAGCGCCTGCTTCTGTGTGCACCGCACAGGCTTGGGAGGTGGGGCGTATACTAGGCGTGGCCCTTCCGGTGACTTCAGTGAGGGACCTGAAGGAAAACAGGCGGGAGCAGCACCGGGCGTGGTGGCACTCGGGAGGCTGAGGCAGGAGGATCGCCTGGAAAGTTGCAGGCCAGCCTGGGCTACGTCTTGAGACCTTCTCTCAAACGCAAAGGAACAAAAGACGGATGTGAGGACTGTGGAGAAGGCTCTGTGGGGTGAGCTGGCGTCCCCGTGACAGCAACCTCTGGAGGAGCAGACACTGGGCCTGGCGGGTACTCGGAAGGGCTCTGCTTGCAGGCGGAGAGAGGGAAATCTCTTCTCTCGTGGGTCTGCTGACCCAACCCAGGCCAAGGTTTCCTACTTTGCTGTGTGTGATGCTTCCCCAACTCAGTAAGAAGGGGACAGGAGCAGCAGCCACAGGAAGTGGGCACAGAGCAGCTGCGCCACCCGCAGCGCAGGCACGGGGAGGGGAGAACATTCCAGAAACCCCACCACGGGGCAGTGTTGCCGAGCAGCCCGCTCAGATTCGCGGGAAATCTGCACCCACACCGGTAGGGGAGGGTGTGCGCGCGTGTGCAGGACCATGGGCTACACGCGAATGATCAAACCACCGTTATTCACAAGAGCGGGCAGCGCACACACTCAAAGGTCCATCAGTTGAAAAGTAGATTTTTAAAAGTACGGCACTGCTGGGGATTTAGCTCAGTGGTTCCGGCGCCTGCCTTGCAAGCGTAACGACAAGCACAGCATTGTTGTGCAATGGGAATTTATTCAACTATAAAATGGAATAACTGGGTGTAGTGAAACAGGCCTGTGTCCTGAGTTCGAGGCCAGCCTAGACTACATAGAACTTGTCTCCAAAAAAAAAAAAGAGAAAAGAAAAAGAAATACTCAGTAGAACATGGATGGACTTACAACACTGTGCCCTTTTTCTATTTTATTTTGAGACAGTCTCCCTAAATTCCTCAGCCCATCCTCCAACTTTTGATCCTCCTGCCTCAGCCTCCTGAATAACTAGGATTACAGACATGCACCTCCATGCCTGGCACACAACTGTTTAATATTGTAATCTTTTTTTTTTTTTTTTTGGGTACTGGGGATTGAACTCAGAACATTGTGCTTGTGAGGCAGGCGCAGTGCCACTGAGCCAAATCCCCTGCCCTAATATTTCAATCTTACTGTACATACTTTTGTGAATTAGTAAAATAATGACCTCATATATTCATTTATATTATGTAAGATAGTGTGCAATTATATTTTGTATCATAATTTCCTTTTCTGGAAGCCGGGCGTGGTGGCACACGCCTGTAATCCCGGCACTTGGGAGGCTGAGGCAGGAGGATCACTGTGAGTTTGAGACCAGCCTGGGCTACACAGTGAGTTCCAGGTCAGTCTCAATGCAACTACATAGTGAGACCCTGTCTCAAACAACAACAACAAAAAAAAGAAGAAGAAGAAGAAAAGCAAAGCCTAGTATAACAGGTGTTGCAAGGATCTGGGGAAATGGGACCTTCATAAGTTGCCTGGGGGAAATAGGAACTGATGCAGGTGGAGAAGAGTTCAGCAACGGAAGGAAGGAAGGGAGGGGAAAAGGAACCAGTCTGACGCTTTCTCAGAAGCTAAACATAGCATTGCTGTGCACCCCGACAGCTCTACCCTTGAGTTTCTAAGAAAATGAGAAACATGCAGCAAAATGAAACTTGTTCACGAATGTTCAAATCAGCATTATTCCTAACGGCGAAAACGTGGGCAGACTCCACTGAAAAATGGGTTTTATTTTATTTTTTCTGGTACAGGGGAGCGAATTTGAGACTTTGCGCTTGGAGGCAGGCACGGTGCCCCTGAGCTAAATCCTGGGCCCTGAAAAATGGATTTTAGACAAACATGAATAGCTACACAATAGAATTTTATTCAAGCATCAACAGGAATAATGGGCATAGCGATGAAGGCCTGGGGTCCTAGCAGGTGGGAGGCTGAGGCAGGAGGATCAGGAGCCCAAGGCCAGCCTGGACTACACAGAGGAGACCCTGTCTCAAAAGAAGAATGAAGGACTGGTGCACAGTACATGCGGGTCGGGTCAGAAGAGGTGAGAAACTCCATGCTGGGAGTTTCTGTTGGCCGTGAAGCACCACCTCCGACAGGGTCACCCCGGGTCCACAGCCAAACGGGAGGGAAGGGCGCCACCCCGTGGCTTTGCGTAAACACAGACAGAATCGGCCACCGCTCGCCTCAGGGCCGTGCTGAGAGCCGCTTCCCGACCTGACACGTGCGTCACACCCGAAGGAGAAGGGCCGCCCGCTCCTCAGAATGCAGAGCTCGCTTTGTCTGACTCCCACTGCCCACCGAGGACATGGGCAGAGGGACCGGTTAGAAGGCCTGGGGGGCAGCAGTGCACAACGACAATCCTAGCACTCTGGGAGGCTGAAGCAGGAGGGTTGCAAGTTCGAGCCCAGCCTGGACACCCTAGAGAGATCCTGTTTCAATTTTTAAAAAATAATAATAGAGGGCAGAGGAGGTGGCTCAATGCGAAGGTCTGGGTTTGTTCTCCAGCACAGAGGAGAAGGGGTCGCAGCCAGCTTAGCAGACAAACCCTGTGAAGAGAGAGAGGTGAGCCGCGGACATGCAACGGGTCTGGGGGCGCAGAGAGACAGGAGGGGCTGGGGAGTAGGAATGGTCAGGAAGCACAGCCCCGGCTCAGCCCCTCCTTCTCCAATAGTCCCTGCTCAGCGGCTCCATGGCCCACATGAACCCCAACACTGATCACCCTCTTCCAGGGCTCTGCTATTCCACATGCACAGAGGAAATGCCACATGAAGCTTAAAAATAAAAGGCAGGGAACTGTTCTTCCTAGGAAGCATTATTTACAGTCTTTTGCAGTGTAAAGAAATGTTCACTGTGTGAGAGATGCAAATTCAAACATTTAAAGTCCGTATTTCACATTTCAAACTTGTGCTGTATGACTTATAAATGCAACTTTTTGTATTAAATGAAAGTCACATTCTTGTACTCATTCATAATACAGTGCTACCGACCGTAGGGCAGCAAACACGGGATTTCACGAGGAGATACAGGTTCTCTGAAAGGTGGGAGCAGGTTCGGCGATGACAGTCAGACAAAAGCACTCAACACCGAGGTGAAGTTTGCAAATGCTGCTGCAATTTTATTTCTAACTCTAGGTGTTTATATACTAGTTTCAAGGGCACACCTCAAGAGTGATTTCAGGCACAGGCAGGCATGAGAAAGATAGACAATAGTACTGTAAAAACTAAGACCACAAGGTCAAGTTAAGACCACACCTATATACCATCACAAAAGCTAAGACCATTAAATCAAGGTAAGACCACACCTATACGCAGTCAGAAGGGGAAGTTTGTAAAACAAAGGACTGGTTTGAGCATGTCACCTTCAGGATCACCTTCAGGACTTCACAGTCCGGGGCTCAGGGTCAGCACTTTGGCCGCCCATCCTCTTGTGCCTCAATACCTCCCCATCTCTAGGAACATCTAATTGTTCCTAACCTTTCCTGGGCCCAGAATACAATTCTACAGATAATGAACAAATAGTAATAAAGACAAAATAGAACAGAATTATAGATGAACCCAATGTCCCCAAACTGCAGGCAGAGAGGCCAGCTATTCTCTTCACGGCTGACTTTGCATGCGGTGTGTGCCAAGGACTTCCAGGAGGCTTAACCCCGTGGGGACGATACCTCTGGTCTGGTTTCTGCCAGGTGACCGGCATTGTCACACAGACTCCACTGGAGTGGTCGTGGCAATACAGCAACTGTCAAAATAGAGATTAAACATTTTTTTGTTTTGTTTTGAAAATGGCTCTCACTGGATTACCCAGACTGACCTCAAACTCTTGGACTTGAGAGATTGTCCTGACTCAGCCCCCTGGATAGCTGGGATCACAGGTGCTCCCCCAGCTTGCAGCTTAGTGTACCTCTAAAAGCTGCTGTGCCCTGTGCTGTGGATCTATCGCTAGGACTTTGTCCTACACTGATCTTTCTCCCACACTTCAGGGTCTCCCGCTCAGGTCCTTTGACTTCATAAAGATACACAGTAGATTCTTTTTCTAGGGCTAACCACTTTCTGGTTTCCTTATTTTCTTACAGGACTGAATTTTCATGATATGCAATAACTTTTTTATTTGGTTTATACATAAAACTTTAGTGCTAGCTGGGAATAGCGGTTTCCACCTGTCATCCCAGTTACAGTACTCAGGAGGCTGAGGCAGGAGGATTTCAAGTGCAAGTTGGCCTGGGCAACTTAGCAAGACCCTGTCTCAAAATAAAAAAATAAAATAAAATAAAAGAGCTGGAGATGTAGCTCAGTGTGAAGGCCCTGGGTTTGATCCCCAATCCTGCAAATAAATAAACAAATGAAAGATGAGGGTAAAGGAAAGGCTTACTTACCTAACAAGCAAGTCTTCCTGCCAATCCAAAATCTGTATTTTAGGATGACTATTGGTGTTTGCTTTCCCAGTACTGGAAATTGAACTCAGGACCTTGTGCTTGCCAGGCAGGCACTGAGCTAAATCCTGAGCTAAATCCTAATCCCCATTCTTTGCATTTTCATCTGGAGAAAATTTGTTTTTTGTGAAAAAGAATGGCCTTGAAATGACACAGGAAAATTCACAGGAGGTCAAAAATATTGCTCCATTCAAGGAGGGGGAGAAGCCCGGGACTGCCC